ATCACCGCACAGTCAATCGAATGAGACAAGGCTGAATTTCCCAGACTGTATTCGTAGAATCTAAAGCTAAGGAAAGAAAGAAAGAAGGAATCGAGAGCGGCTGAGCGGCCGTGGGGAAATAGTTGTGGGCGCTAGAGAGTAGAGCTCCTGCAACAGTGCACGAGCCACAAAGCCTAAACCCGATGCGCCCAACCAGCGGGTTTTGGCCCTGCTGTGACAATTAGGTTCGGGACTCTGAAGAAGAATGAGGTTATTATTACACTCATGACTGTCACGGTCGCCACAGGGCTCATGTGACAGGATTGATTCTATTGGCTGCATTGTGCTTAGGGTGTGGCCTGTGCGCACTGAGCACCACTACCTATTTCTCCGCGCCCTGCGCGGACCCGGCAATAGATTCCTTTCTCTTCCTTAGCTTTAAATCCACATTCGTTGCTGCCTTCAGCCATTGACATCCTGTAAGAGAAGGTAGGTACGCCTGATCAAGGTGGTCACAATGCAGGCAAGAAGGTAGGGGAGCAATGACTTGTATTGGTGTAAGACTTCAACCTGGCCCTCGCAAAGGAAGATGGGCGAGGGCCATTGTTTATATACCTGCTCAGGGGTTCGGCCCGGTCATCAGTCTGCGGTCTTGGCGCCACGGCGTAGCGTATGCCAGCTGGCAGTGTTCTAGCCAGTTGGTGACAAGTGGTGGGCGCGCACCCTGTGCGCGCAGTTGGTGTTTGGGGTGTCCTTTTCCTTACACATCCCCACTGCGTAAGGCGGGCCGTCACAATGACTATATATAATCTCTCTGTTATCTAATATAACGCCATTTCCTCGTGCTTTTCAGTGCTTAATAAAGTGCCTAGAAGTGATATAGATATATTCGTGCTTCTATTAAAACGGAGCTCTTAATTACACCGGCCCTCTAGGGACCTTCCGCTCTGAAGGGAAGACCTGGGTGTTACGATCCTGGCTCAAGTCTGCAGGAGGCGCTGGAAGCCGACTGCTGATTGGGCAGCACTGGCGGGCAGGACGGGCCCCACATGAGCTCGGTGCGGCCAATCAGGCGGCGCTCAGTGCGTTCGGGTGCCAAGACTGGGAAGACCCACTGAGCAGAAAGAACAGCCAATCAGGAAAGTGCTCAGTTACCATTGAGAGCTCAGTCGTCCTTGAAGACTGAGCGGCCCGGAGGCCCTGAGCACTGTAAGGGAGAACCCTGATTGGTCCGCCTTAGATAGATATATACGACGACCGTAGCCACGGTCCTAGATAGTTCTTGCTTGGTTCTTCAAGCAAGCAATACACATTCACTACACTCATACACTTTGAGTGGCATTCCGATTTGACTGTATTACCCGTGCGATAGGAGCTTGCCCTTTGTTCTATCTTCATAATTACCAACCCCAGCATTCTGTGGAGCCCGTGCTCCCTTACAGACAGACGACCCTAACAGTCGAGTGGTTTGTAATACTGGGGCATCTCTGGCACCTACGATCGGGGCATCTATAGAAGGAAGCCATTAATAGGCTGGTTGATAACGTAGGAGGACAAAATAGCGGCAAGGTACTTCAAGGACTGTGAGGCCTGCAGGCTAGGCAAAGCGTACAAAATTGTCTCTCAACGAGTATCGGAAAATCGCTCAAAATAACCGTTTTGGAGGGTCTCGATAGGTCTCTTTGAGTATGAGGAAGGCTTTAACGGCCGCTAACACCTCATAGCTATTAAAGACGAATATAGCGGCGGCATCTGTGTCTTCTCGATAGCCAATTCCCAGTCCCTAGTCCCCAATCCCTAGTCCCCAGTCCCCAATCCCCAATCCCCAGTCCCCAATCACGATATGATCAGGACCTTGGACTTGCTCAGGCACTTGGGCATAACCGCCAGCCCGCGGTCGTCGCGCATGGTGATGATGGGCGTCACGGCGAGCTTGATGCGTGCCTGCTTGATTTGCAAGATCACGGGATCCTCCCTATTCTCGATGGCGACGTGGCTCTCGTTAGAATACTTAGCGCCCGTGTCGTTCCACATATAGCTGAAGGTTAGGCGTGATAGCACGAGCTTGGCTGACAGGTCCCAGGCGGACGTGGTGACGTTGTGCAGATCATAGAAGGCCTCCTGGTGCATGTTGTGGCTGGGGCGCGCGCAGACGAGCGGGCCCATCATCTTCTTGAGCTTCTGGAAGTGGTCGTTGACCTTGTACTGGCGGAACGACGCCCACTTGTCGTGCACCGTCATGCTCTGCACGAGCTCGGCCTGGCGGTCGACAATGGCTTGCCGCTCATGCGGCTTGATAACGGCCTTGCTGCTCAGCTGTGAGGTGAGCTGCTTCATGACGGCGTCGTGCTCCGTGTCGAACTCGAGCCAGCCTTCAGCCGAGAACATGAACAGCACCATGTGCTGCGCGATCAGCCGCTGCACGAGGTGCGGCCGCGTCTTGGCGTCCTTGAGGAGGGCCGTCGCCTGCGCTTCGCCGGCGGCTTCGTCGGCCGGGCTGATGACGCGGCACATATACTTCCACAGCGGAGGCGAGCTCGTCTTGATGTGCTGCACTATGTCGCGCGCCGCGGGGGTCTGCATGTACGAGTTGCAGAAGCCGAGGACCAGGTTGAACATCCTAGAGAACTCCTTCGCCCACTGCACTGCCTCGGCGTCAGGGGCTTCGGACACGGGATCGTCCGGGATGGTCGTCAAGGCTGGCTGCTTCATCCGCGGCACGGGGCTGCCAAGCTCGTCCGCGCCAGAGTGTCCAGATCGGCGGTCTGCGCTGGTCCGCGTGTTGTCGAATCTGGCTAGGCTTGGCTGGCGGCGAATGTGCATGGCTGAGACGGCGCGGTGCAGGCTAGCCTTGGACGCTCGCTGTCCGGAGTCTTGTGTCTCAGCAGCCGCGATCGAGGGAGGCACCCGGCTCTCGTATCCCTGAAGGATGCTGTTTGGGATTTGCTGGTAGACAATTCTAGTTGCAGGGTTGTAGATGCTGGCCGGAGCTGCTTGGTAGACACTGGCGGGTACTGCCTGGCTCGTGACACGCGAAGGTTTCCGCCACGACTCTTGAAGGTAGCGGGGAACCTCCGGTGCCCCCATGGCTGGTCCGTACGTCAAGTTGAGGGTCGGTTTAGCGGGCGGCGGTGAGCTCCGCTTGATGGCCCCCAGTGCGTGTGACTTCTCGGCAGGGTCGGCGTAGTGCTCTAGCCATAGGTTTCTCTTGCCGGCGAGCTGCTCTCGGAGGTGCTGTTAGAAGCTTTAGCCGGATTGTTTGTAAGATTCAGGTGAGATGTGTGGTGATTTGAATGTTAATGTAAGCTTACCTGGATGGTCTTCTCGTCTTTAAGCCGGAGCGTCCGCATGCTCTCTAATATGGCGTCTAGGTTCTCCAGGCGCTCTTTATCGTTCTGCAGCTGGGCCTGCAGCTCGTGGATGGCCGACCCGTGCTCGGCCCGCATCTTCTCGTCCCTCATCACCATGTTGGCGATGGTGATCATGGTTCGATCGACGACATTGCCGCGTCGATTCGCATCCTCGTCGAGAGCGCCCACGAGGTTTATGATCCGGTAGAGATCCTGCTGCAGCAGATCCTTCAGCTCGGCTGGCCACTGCTGAGCCGCCACCACGTTGTGGACTCTCAGTGTCCGAGCCTTGAGATCCGCTGTCAGTTTGCGGGCGTCCTGTAATACGGGGTGGGACTAGTTAGCATTTGATTTTTGCTCCTCGGTGTCGGTGTTAGTGTTGGGGGCGGTGATGAGAAGGGGACAGCGTAGGTACATACCGCCGGCTCCAGGAGGCCCTGCTCCATCTGCTCGTTCTCCTTCTCCTCCCTCTCCTGGTGGAGCTCCTTGACAACTTTCTTTACGACATCCATGCTTAGCGTCTGGTACTTGATGAGGATTCTGATAGCTGGCACGCTGTAGAAGCTTACATCGGCACCAATTATGTCGATCCTCTCGGCAAACCGCCGGACCTGTTCTGCGAGGCTCTGCTTGGCACTCGCTGTGTCTGCCGCCGTCAGGGAGAAAGGCGGAAGAGGGGCCGGTGGCTGGCCTCTGGGCCCGCGCAGCTTCGAGTTTGGCGGCAGTAGGTCACTGCTTGTGCTCGGCCTGGCCGAGCGGCGATGATGCTGCCCCAGGCCCTCTGGCGTCTTGGGGTCGACAAAGGGGTCTGCAACTGGCACGTCACGAACCTCCGACTTTGCTGGCTTGGCGGCCTCTCTCGCGAGAGGCCCGCCAGCCTTCTCCGACTTCTTCGCCGTGGAAGGCACCGGCGAGTGCACGTAGAGGAGCACTCCGCCTGCTCCTGGCGGCGACATGAACAGGCGGACGCCGCCTTCTTGCGAGCCGTCGCTGCTCGCCAACAACGGACTCTTCTCCATTTTCTTTTCCCTAAGTATTGCGAGAAACACGATGTCAAGGTTAGCGGGGCACGAGGCGAGAATGAAAAATCAAATGAGATGGATGATGCTGCTCGCAGCAGATTAATGAAGGAAGATGAAGAGAGTTGCGCCGGGAGAGCTTGATGAGGAGGATTTATTAAAGAAGCGTATTTGTGCTCGAGGTGGTGACGCTCGAGGTTTGATGGCGGGAGAGGGTTGTGTGCTCGGGCGAGGGCGCGCTGAGGGAGAAGAGGAGGCAACAAGGTCGGGATTTGAGGAGGGGAAGAGCTTCACAATGAGGAGAAGGTAAGTGTAGGAACGAACCTTTTGGAAAAATCTAAGCCGGATTGAGGTTATCGTTAGTTTTGTGTATATGAGAGCAAAACTGAGAATAAGGCGGGAGATGATAAAGGTCGGTTGTTGAAAGAAGGAAGAAGAGAGGTAAGCCGGCAGAAGGTAGGCGAGTTTATGGAGGTCAGGTGTGGCAACTACAAGCTGGGTCAAGAGGGCGGGGGTTGGCAGGTAGGGTGCTTTCCGCCCAGGCTGTAGTGTAGGGAACTAAGGAAGTGAGAGGAATATGAAAGGGACGGGGATGTTGCCTGGCCAACCCCCGCCCGGGCTGGACCTCTCGTGAGGCGGAGTTTGAGTAGCGATGTATCGTTTACGGCCGGGCAGGAGGCATCCATTCTTGGCGACGATATATGCGATATCCCTTTATAGCCAGGCGTTGGTAATACCAGCGATTTGGGTCAGTTCTTCGATCGCTCGACTGGACGTTTTCGTCGCTAACAGCCTCCTTAGGAAGCCCAAGCCTAGCATCTAAGGCTGTTGAATATAACGTTAGCGATCCGTCAAGACACAGATCGGCAGAACCGAGGCAACGGACTACGTCAACCACACGGTCGCCTTCGCCTACCCAGCAATCCACAGGAGCCTCGGCCCCTTTATCTCTTCAAGCTTCCCAGTCTCCGACGACGCCATCGTTATCTCTTCTTTCAGCGGCCTTTCTAATACCTCGGTCTTCAACATACCGTACAAATAGCGTTGACCTCTGCTCCGCTGTGCCACAGAACGACTCCGGCCATTCGCTCCAGTACGTGGGGATCTCTTATCGACAGGGTCTCGGGTACCCCAGGCACCCCGAACTATCGAGCCGCGCCAACGGCGGAAATGCTGAGTCGCCCAAGGCTAATAACCCACTCTACCATTCCCAGAGTCCGCGTGGTAGCTCTTCCAACGAGGCAGAGAAGTTATTGAACAGCCGGAACCCGCCTCGGAAAGATGAAGATCGTACTAAGACGGGTGATAATAAGGGCTATCTTCCTTTAGCCAAAAGAAGCAGGGGTCGAGAGGGCACCCTTTACCGTGACTCGGCCCACGAAAGCGACAGCGACGACGACGAAGGTGAGCTGGCTGGCGCCGAGCCACCCGTGCAGCCGTCTGACAGCCAAGACCGGAACTCTCAGCGCAACATTGGTTGTCATCGATACTACGATACCAATAATGAGGAGGACTATCGTCTTATTAAGGATAGCGACGCAGAGCATAGCTGGGATAATGATGTGGTCCAGCCGCGACGACGCAAGCGCCGCAGGATAAGCACTTCGATCCTTGCAAGCGGCGGAACGGCTGTTCAGCAGCAGACACATTACGCTGACTCCCGATCACGGCAAATTCAGAGATCATTCTAACCCCCGAAGCGCCAGATATAACGCAGCATCCCCAGCACGCCATTTTCATGGGGGTCCATCTTGGAAGAGGAGATAGTTAAAGCCCCCGTCGCAAATTTCGAAGAATGGTCTATTAGCGACGCAGTCTTCAAGCGCGTTACACTAGACGGGGTATAGACCATCTAGCTGCAATTCACTTGGGCCCCATGTGCAAAGCAAGGAAAAGGGTATTATGAGACAGAGAATCGAGGCTCCGCCTCCCCAGCCAAGAGGCACCGCTCGGCAAGACAAGGGAGCAAAAGATCCACGAAAGACGAGGACACCACAGCAAATTCGAAGTCCGCTCCGAGAAGGCAGAGATATACGCCACAGGATGACGCAAAGATCCGCGAGCTGAAGGACCAAGGACTATCTTGGCTCGCAATCGCCGAGAAATTTCCAGGACGTTCTCCTGGGGGCCATTAAGCAAAGGTATTACACCAAGCTTCAGACCAAACCCGCTCATGGGGCTCCGCAACTGTGCGGCGATCCTTAAACGCTCCTAGTGGTTGACAATGCTGGCGAGGAAGAGTGGGAGGTAGAGGAGATTTGTGATTGTGAGGACCCGTCCACCAAGCTGGCCCTCAAGCAGCCAGAGCCGCCCAGAACCCCCGGACCTATCAGAAGCCTCTTCGAGGCCCCACCTACCCCACTGATAGATGAAAACTTATTCGCGAGCACGCGACGCGTTGTCGGACTTTTCCTTCTTTCCCTCCTCAGTTTAGAATCTTCGTCGATAGCACCCAATGGACTGAGTTCACCTCAATGCCCTGCCCTGGTCGTGACAGTGATTACAGAAAGCCAGACGATGGAGGCCTAGAATTCTTCGTGAAGTGGAAAGGTGGGGACGAGACATGGGAACCTTTCGAGAACGTGGCAGAGACGGAGGCACCTGACAAGTATAAGCGCTTTCATAGCCTGGTTGGTCTAGATATTGTTTGAGTGTTAAATCGGCTTATATTAACTTGGTTTTCGTATCTGACTGCTGCTTTTCCCTCTTGTCGTTTTCTCCTTATCGTGCTGCCTCTCCTTGCGATTCCTCATGGACACAACTTGATGATTCGCAGCGGCTCTTCTTCACCTCGCCTTCTAGGCGCTATTCAACTACGTGCAGCTAACATCGTTAACGCTGTACTGGCACCGCCCCCGAGAGTGGCTCTTATCGTTTGGCGCGACGGATGGATCTCAGCTCAGCAACCAATGTTGGAGATGACCCCGCGCCTACCCCGAAATCTTCCCCATGCGGCTCAAAAGTGAATCCCCACCCTTTTCGCAGTTGCCCTACTCGACCGTATCGGGCACAAACGCCAGGTGACGGCCTGCCGCACCTTCACTTATCCCGCGAACTGTTCATCCCCACCCTAGGAGCCTACTTCTTTGCGGCTCGAAGACCTATTGCCCGCCCGAGATACGAAACGATAATGTGCCACAAGCATATACAAAAAGCCGTCGATATTTGGTCTCTTGGCGTCGTCATCTTACGGTTTACATATAGTCTCCCACATCCTGGTTCTGAGTTTAGAAAGAGGTAGTGTAAAAGAGAGTCGAAGAAACGAGCTGTTGGGATTCAGAAGGCCTAATTGACATGTTGCAACGCATATTGGTTATCGAGGCAGAGGCGCGATATTCAGCTACGGCCTGCTTACCAGAAACCCGGCTTCTTACGTCATCCGGAGACCGTTCCGCAACTCTAACGCCAGCTTCTTACGCTGCAGGATATGGGCCAACAATTGCTCATGTCTATCCTGAAGGGCAGGGAGAAGAAGAGAAAGAGACATTGCGCATCTTACCACATGAGGTATACTCTGTTATCCGGTTGCGCGAACTGTCGCTAATTAACTTGTTCTTTAGCAATGCCTTTCTCAGTATAGCAACCGTGCTGGTTACCGCCTTGCTGCTGATTCTGGATGGCTCAACCCCTCACTCGACGAGGATTCGGAGGTCTTGTACGAGACTGGGAGAAACATTAGGTCCAATACCCCACCGCCCGATTCTACGAAACGAAAATCCGCTACTACCTCGTTATCCAGTAGAAAACACAGCAGTGACACCGGCAGGCACTTCAGTTCAGACGGGCCGCCATCGAAGCCAAGCCGGAAGAAGCTTGCAAATGCTTTTGCACCGCCTTCATCTGAGAGACAGCAGTTGAACCAACTCGAAGATGATTGGATCTGTTTCGCCTGTCAACTAGCAGGTTAATTATCTCTTCGCCGAGAGCACACGAGGCTCGCCACATCCTCAGGCATTGGAGGAGCCCAAACAGAACTGGGAGAACCCTTCAGGGGCCCCAGTCTCATAGAATCTGCTCAAATACGATGCCTTCGCCCAAGATCCTTAGCAGAGCCAAATCGGACGTGATGGAGTGGAGCAAGATGTATATGATGCCGCAGTTCTTCTGCAAACGATGGGCTAGGAGCCTCCCGTGGGCATTGACCTTTAGTTAGTCAATGCCGCCGCCTTTAGGCATTCGAGGTGTTCGGAGAGAATATGTTCCACATTGCGGCCAGCTCTTCGCCTCACACCTGGAGGCTCGTCCGTTGGCTCAAGGCTTCCGAACCTCGTAATCATCGTTCCACGCCGCACAGGTTAATGGCTAGATAGAGTGGCTAGTCGCAGGCATACAGCTAGTTTGCTGGTATTTATTATAAACCACTCCACTGTTAGGGTCGTCTGTCTGTAAGGGAGCACGGGCTCCACAAAATGCTGGGGTTGGTAATTATGAAGATAGAACAAAGGGCAAGCTCCTATCGCACGGGTAATACAGCCAAATCGGAATGCCACTCAAAGTGTATGAGTGCAGTGAATGTGTATTGCTTGCTTGAAAAACCAAGCAAGAACTACTAAGACCGTGGATACGTTCATCTTATTTATTTAATTATGGCGGGCCAGTGAGAGCGCAGCTCTTACTTGCCCGACAAGAAGGAGCTGCCTGGCGCCGGGCACTGCTAGCGTGCCGGGCCATTTGCCTGGTGCCAAGATTCTTCTTGGCACCGGGCCACCCCTGATTGGCCGTCCTTCCGTTTGCCTGGTGCCAAGAGCCCTCTTGGCACCGGGCACCGTCTGATTGGCTCTCGACAAGCGGGGCCCCCAGTCTTGCCTGAGGCGCCCGCCTTCTGCAGCTAGTACAGTACAAACCAAGTTCGTCACATATTCCCAGGCATCAGATAACAAGCAACAGATGTCAATAGACAGCGTGTCAGCGCCTGCTTCTACTCACCAACGAAAACATTAACACAAGGGGCACGCTTCCCGAACGCAGACATACACCGGGCTTAGTGTGAGGGCCTGGTCCTCTAGGCCTCCCAGACGCTCTGACTAATCAGACGCCAGTTAGGTGGATCCACCCGACCAGCCAGAGCCCCACCTTGAGACGCCCTGGAAGAATCTCGCGAGGGGAGGCTTTTGAGCTTCTTTTCCCTTTTCCCGTTAGTTTAGAATCTTCGTCTATAGCGCCCAATAGAGGAGTTCCGCCCTCATTCCAAGCCGGCCGTGACACTTAGCCCGGATGACTCAATAAGGTCGGGTTCCTGAAGCGGGTTAGGCCTAGTCACGTAAACAGAGCCTGATACCATACAAACAGACGGCGTTCGTGAGTCGGCGCGTGAATGAACAGAAGCCCTCACAAGGCTCGGGTGAGCCCCTCCGACAAAGTAGCAGCCAGCGTTACACCCTAGTCAGGGAGCTAGCGCTTGTTTAAAGCGGCCGCATAGCCTGCGAGGCGGCCTTCAATATCCACAGCCTTGTCTAACTCATCATCATCACTAACAGCATAATGCATCACCATCACCAACATTTGCCCGAGTTAGGAGGGATCCGTTCCAGGAAGTCAAGTCTGATGTTTGCGCGAGAATGCTGTACATGCAATCATTTCTGCTGTTGGTGACAGATCTGTACACGGAAACGTATTTGCTGCCAATGATTAGACCTTAGGTTTTGGCTCGTGTATGTGCGGACGGCTGGTCGGGGAGCCCCTCATCTAGAAGGCAGCGACTCTAGCAAAATGAGACCTTCTATCGGTGGGGCGCATAACACGAGAGCGCCACATCGAATGTATCTATACATTGCTGTTAAATCTACTCCTATCTTGACGAACTCATTGGTTCCGGGAACACTTCGGCACTCCTCACTGTGTGATATCCTTACCTCATACTGAGAACTTGGCGGTTCTAGAAGCGCAGCCACGCACCCAGTCTCCTGGAAATCGCCAGGCTCTATTCAATATGCAATGGTCTGAGAAGTAACAGCCAAATTGGGACCAGCTGGCACCTGCAGGTTGGCACACTGAGGTCTACGCAATAGGGTAGCATAGACCACCGCCTGCAAAGCGTACCAGGTATAGGGCCAAGATAACCGTAGCAATTGTTAGAGACCTGTGAGGCGGGTTCTCAATTAGCTAGCTACTGGCGCCCCGTACCGGCTGTGGCTCTTGCCTTGGGTCTTAGGGCTGGTTGGTGTCGACGGCTGCGAGGGATTTGTGCCAGACCAACTTCGCGCTGCGTCTCTGGGCTACCAAGGTTCTCCGTCTCACTTTTAATCGCCTTCGAGTGGAAGTCCTGGTGTTTCATAGGCTTTATGCACGGGCTTGATGGGTAGGGACGATTTGTTCGAGCTTGGCATGCATTTTTGGTTGCGTTGTGCTAGCAAATACAGGGCGAAGTGTCACGTTGAATCCCTGCCCCAGCCGAGAGAAGCTAGCTTTGTGATTGCCGGAAGTCCTCGTATTTGAGGATAGCCAATGGACTCATTAAATATTGTGAGGACCCGTCTACCAAACTGGCCCTCAAGCAGCCAGAGCCGCCCAGAACCCCGGGCCTATCAGAAGCCGCCTCGAGGCCCCACCTACCCCACTGATAGATGAAAACTTATTCGCGAGCACGCGACGCGTTGTTGGACTTTTCCTTCTTTCCTTCCTCAGTTTAGAATCTTCGTCGATAGCACCCAATGGACTGAGTTCACCTCAATGCCTTGCCCTGGTCGTGACA